GTCGTTACGTTTCGAAAGTGAATTATTGTCAATTTATTATCGGTTGCCAGGCTTATGCATGTTTGCGATGGCTAAGGATTCATTTGCAATTTGGTCCTGTACCGGTTGTAAGTGTGCTCCTATGCTGATAGTGTACATGCTTTTTTTTTCTTTTTTTTTTTTCTTCTTATTTGTTTTATTATGCTTATACTCAATTTTATTGTTAATTAATATAAGTTTTGCATTAAGAGCCAATTGAACTCGACTGTTATTTGTTTAGTTGAGTTTCTAGTATAAGTGGAATAAATAAAATAAATAAATAAATAAATAATTTAGTTGTAAAATGGCGTTTTTCTTGGCACCGTCTAATTATTAATAAAACTAATAATAACAAGAATCAAAGAACAAAGCATAGCCGTAGTCATGTTAATCTTATAGTTATACAAATATTCTTGCAGTGATCTGCAATTATTTCTCACTTCCATTACTGTCCGACACAACTACCACGGATTATTATTTTCTAAAGCTGTTGGCAGAATGAGGGCGCGCTGGTATTTCCAAGACTGGAAAAGATATAATGTTGATTATTTATATTCAGACTTTGATGACATTTCCATGAGAATCCCTAGGGAAAGACTAAACGTGAAAATTCGGCATATAAATGGATTAACAAAAGTAAGCATATGACTAATGCTGACTGGATTCGCTATTCGTTTTCGTCATTTTTTCATTTTGCAATACTTACAACACTGGTTGTGGGCCTTGACGGGTAGTTATGTAAGTCGTAGGACCAAGGAGTATTTATTTTTACAATTATATGTACATTCATTAATTAAAGTTAATGTAATCACATTCACAATACATATTAAATATTTTTGGCCCATGGGGCTTGCACTCTATATGTTGAAGAATAAAATAAATAAAAAAAATATGTTTTTTGTAATTTAATATAACATTAAGGTTCCGCGCGTTCGATTGACTTTGAATCGAAACATAAAACGCTCCTCCTTTGAATAAGAAAGACACCCCAAGAGTTACAAGAGAATGCGTATATTTTCTTTACCGCTACGAAAACATCGCCAGTGAAACGTTATCAACAAAAGACAATGCATATAAGCGTTTGCAAAAGTTGTTTTCTGTCCGTATAAAATCCATCCTAATCAGTTGCCTTGATTTAGTTGTTTTAGTAACAAATATTAAATAAATGATAAAACAGCATTTGTATTCATTGTTTTGAATGAAAATTACGATTTGGCAGAATACAGTTTTACGACAGTTAGTTTTTCATGGGTCTGTTTCCGAAAATTTCATTAGTGCAATTCCACAATGAGTTTATTATTTCTCACACTTGATTTTAGTTAAATTTATCTCTAAAATAATCTTATTTCAGCCAAAATTTACTTTATTTTAATCTTAATTCATTATTTACAGTGTCATAACTTCCTAACATTGAAAGTCTAGTTTAGGGAATTAACAACTATAAGCCATGTTTCATTGGTTTAGTTTATACTTATTCCATATCAGAGAAATATTAAAAATCAACTTGCCGACAAATTATATCAGAACTGCCCATAACCTATATGATACCTATATGATATTGCAACTTGCACACGTTGAATTACCCGAAGCTGTCTTATCTCATAATCTTTAATGCGTTTGTAAGAAAAATGTAGATTCATATTAAATCTTTTTATAATCATTATATTAAATGTTTTATTAAATGTAAATAACACGCTAAAATTTGAAATTATTCACCGGTTTTCCTAAATACATTCATTGCCATAACAAACTCAAAATGGATAAAGGCGGCATACCAGGTTCAGCTCCTTTTCGGAATCCTGCAATATATGTATTTAATTAAAATACTTTCCAGACTTGACATCTTTTTATTCTTGAAAATATATTTACCAAGATATAGAACCAGAGGAATAAAACCCCAATGGAATGTAGTCTTCGCTACATCATAAACAATTTCTAGTCTTTCCTTAACATCAGGAGACATAACCATGGTGAAAATGTAAATTTTTCTTAATTAATCACGAACTGTTTTCTCAGAGCACATTAAATAAATAAAGACAGCAGCAAACATTTAGAAATTTTTCACTTTTTTTACTCCTTTACATGGTTCATAAAAAAAGTATCATGTGTGGAGAATGGAGAGAGGACAGAGTTGCCTTGAATAAATTGCAACGGTTCGTTACTGTCAAAGTGAGGTCCGCTTCTGTGTAGAGAGCAGATGCTATTATGAAATTGGTTGTTTTCATAACAAAACAAATATTTTTTTACAAAAATACAATATCTTTTGTTCGAGAAAGCGAACATCGCCAGTATACAACAGGAAAACTTAGCCGACGTAGGCCGTCGTGTGCATGACATCCTTTAGTCGAGGTTTTGCTTTTGCCATTTCTAACAGGGTTTACGTCTTTACACGTGTTTCCAATTTTAAATATGAACGAAAAACTGTATTAACGGTACCGGTTACATTATTCTCCAAGAGAACTTGGCTATAAATAGCAAACAAGAAATCTTTATAGTAACAACGAAACATCCACGAATATATGTTGACATATTAAATATCGTACCTGCTGCCTATTTGTTGATACAGTGGTGCAAAAGTATCATTATTCATTCCATGAATTTATTTATCTCTATCTTCACTCAAACGAACCTAAGCTTATTAATTTCATTAAGCGCCACTTGTATTTGATTCTTCCAATGGTCAACTTCATTTTGTAACCTATCTTCAAAACAAATTTTATTCTTTTAACAGCAATTAAACAATGAGAAATTTGTGCAAGCCTTCACGTTAAAAATGTGTGGTTATAGCGTTTATAATTCAGAGCAAGTAGTATTAACACTTTTATATTAATTCTTTAATTTCGAAACAATTAAAAGAAACAACATTTTTTATTAACTTAAATCACAAAAAAACTTGCTATTGACTTCAAAAGCAGTATTTCAGTTCTCTGCTAATTGCAGAGCCGTCGCTAGATTCCGTCGCTAAATTCTCTGCTAATTGCAAAAGCTACAGTTTATTCACTCGCACTCATTTAACATTTCCTTGTTTAGATACACTCATACAGAAACGGTAACGTGACAACTTAATTTGCAACTGACCAATTTGCCAAACCTTAAAAAAGAACACAACTGCAGGCGCCATTTTTTGTTTGTTTAATTGCATGAATTATGATCAGAATAGATTCTACAAAGTGTTTATAGATCAGGTGTTTTTATACTATAATTGCACTGCCAGCAAAAAAATTAATTCGAAGCCTTTTTTCAAAATATCTTGTTAGGTCGAATAATCACGTAAATCCCTTGACACTATCTCTTCTAGATAAATCTAACGATATAGGACCTTTTGTTAATATTGGCCAGCGACATCCATAGGTAAAATGATAAAACAATGGGAATTATCAGTATACATAACGGTTAAATTCGATGATTTCGATCTTTTTTTGTCTAAAATAGCAGTTTTCAATTTACTATTATTGAGAGACGCTAGTCGTAGAATGTTCAAAATTGCATTTCCTGCTGCTGAAGTCCATCAAACACTTTCAGAGATTTATGGTGATGCTGCTCCATTATATCCGAATTGTCGATTTTGGTTTATACTGTCTGGAGGGCCAAAAAATTTTGAAGACATTGAACTGCAAGACTTATTGCCGAAAGCAATTGGTCCACCCAACTGATCCGATGATAATTACCGCCCTAAGATTGGCTTCGATGGCAATTTGCCACAGGTTTATGTAAGTGGGCATAGATTGCTCAATAAATTTTAAATAGATGTAAGGAACAAGTACTATTTGAAAATGTCTATTTATTTGATATGTCTAACGAATAACGGTGGTCTGCTCCTTCTCACCCGTAAAAAGGGCGAATGTAACAATGTGAGATCTTTACAGTTTGCTTTATTCGCAGTTGGCTTTTTCCACTTTAGCTTCCCTAAATGGATCTCATGTGTTTTTTAAATCGTTGGGCTTGTCTCTTTACACTATTTAAGCGGAAAGTTGGGCTTATCTATGGAAGGATTTCAACGGCAGTATTACCATTATCGTGTGTTCAAGTGGCGTAAGCGAGAATAATATTGAACTACTTGCGGAACTAGTTTTCGGAGCATTTTCTCTATTCGTAAATCGAGATGAGTTGTCCAATAGCGCGTTATTGGAACGCCTAAAGAAAGAATCAAAACATTATCTACCAATTATTGATGCAGCCTTAGAATTTTGTACAAATCAGTTATTAAACTTTTCCCATTGTCTTCTTTCAAACGATAACGCTCAAATAATTCAACGTTTAAATGAATTTAGTGTTCGTTGTGGTTCACTTTTTTGCTACCTTATGGTTGGACAAAATATAGCAGTAGAAGGCTTGTCGATCGGCAGCTTTTGCAACTTCTTTTATATACATCTGTTAACTGACAGCACGATATTGTTTGTCTTTATTTCTTATGCTTTTTTCTTATTGAACTCATTGGCGTTGCTGGTGTGGCCATCTATCGCTATAAATACTAATTGGCCGGATAATATACACTAAAGAAGCGAGAAATAATTATTTTATTATATTTTATCTATTATATTATATATAAAAATATCTATGTACACATATGCTTCAAAGCTCTTCAACTCCATGCAAGTTTAAATTAGTTTTGCTATTCTTTCACATTTTATTTAATTGATGACATTTGGTTGTGTTTTTTTTATCCTTGGTTAAAAAAAGGTTTCTTGTATCTTTTTGCTATTCAAATACTTATATTGTTATAGGTTTTTCATTCCACATAAGAATTCAGTTATTAATATTTCCTTTTTGAGATAAGAATAAGAATACGTAAAAAAAATAAAAACAAATATATATATATATATTAGTTTGGGGAAAAAGAAATCCATTATTTTTTTATTCACTTCAGGACTTTATTTAACATGCTTCGGATTGTCCGATTTGGGTCAAATATGCACCGTTTTGTTGTATGATTTGTTGCCACTTTAAAGGTAATTTCAAAATGCCTCTCTCATAGAAGTCCTGGTCTCTATTTGCAAAAAACTGTAGTAGTCGATTTTCACAATCCTCCCTAGATTCCAATTTTTTATCATTAAAGAAATTTTGCAATGCACGAAAAAGATGATAATCGCTTGGTGCTAAGTCCGGACTGTATGGCGGATGCATTAAAACTTCCCAACCAAGCTCCCGAAGTTTCTGGCGAGTCACTGTAGATGTGTGTGGCCTAGCGTTGTCCTGGTGGAACACGACACCTCTCCTGTTGGCCAATTCTGGCCGTTTCTGGTATGGTGCATCTTTAACATCAAAAATTCCTGAACGGAATCTACGAAACCAAAATTGCACATAATTGGCTGTTACAGTATAGGAACCATAAACACCATTCACAATTTTAGCCGCCTGGCTTGCATTTTCGCCTTTGTCAAAGAAAAACTGTAAAATGTACCGAATTTTCTCTTTGTTCACTTCTATTTTTAACACGCTGTAACTCACAACTGAATGCACCAAACAAAAAACAGCAAAACAATTTTTTTTACTGCGAAATGTACAGTATGTAAATGTACAGTATCAGAAATTGTTTGATCGCTACATTACGAGAAATCTATCAGTGCAACCATCTACCGAAAATATAATGCATTTCTTTTTCCTCAAACTAATATATATATATATATAAAAGAAATTGTTATTCTTTTTAATGGTATATTATTGCTGAAAATGGAAAAGTTTTTTAATTTAATCGCAAGCCTAATTATTTTAATCGCAAGCCGAATTCTTTTCTATTTATACTCAACAATTTAATCGCAAGCCGAATTATTCATTTGTTGCGCAATTAGCCATCTTATAAGTCTTAAACAGTCTTAAGCAGTCTTAAACAGTTGTAAACAGTTGAAAACAAAAAATTACCAGTTCAGGAAATGGAAAAAGATAAGTGGCGGCTATCTATTACTACTACTACATACTAATTCAAAGAAATAAATACTACTTTATATAACCCATCGTCTAGTTGGAGCTTATAGCAACAAACACTTTTTCGACCGCTTTGATTTGTCATTGAGAAATTCAAACTGACCTTTCATATTAATTTATATAATTTATATTTAAATATAAATAGCTTTATTTATATAATAGTTTTATTATATGCTTAAAATAGCTTTATTAATATATATAAAAGTATATATATATGTATACAAAAGAAATTGTTATTCTTTTTAATGGTTTTAACAGTTTCCTGATTGCTTCCGACCATTTTATTTTGTCAAGTTGGACTTTTAACCATTTAACAGAGCTGTCATTTTTAGACTATTTTTTAGAAGAAACTCTGTACTTTGCCTTTTAACAGGGAATTTAGCGAGGGCTTTGTTTAAAAATTATGGCGGTCTAATTTTAGGCTAACTTGTAAAAGTGAAGAAATTAAGAAATTTTATATGAAAACATAGATTTATTAATAAAAAATAAAAAAACATTAGATACTAAACATCCTAAATGTATATTCATTCGTACTCAATAATTTCCGTACACAAATTCTATATAATTGAGAAAATACAAATTCCATACAAAAGAGTTTTTGATTCGAACAATCACACTAAAAAAAACATTTAAGTTTTTATATATTTATTTATATATTATTATTATTATTATTATATTTATTTATATATTCAGTCGATGAGATTTCAGTTTTCGAATATCTGTAACGGGATCTTTTTGCAGCTGACGCTTCTTTTCTTCTATAATAAAATCCATCATTTCAGTTTGATAATCCCTCATTCGCTTCATGGCATCATTATAAAGAAATAAACATTAGTTACTAAATATCCCAAAGTTTTCCTTTGTTTTGCCGACGGCTTTTGCTAATTTTGTTAGATAATTTGGTCCGTTAGATAATTTCACAGAGTTGAATCTTAAGTTCGGCATTTAAGATTGGCGTTAACATTTAAGTTGTTAGTTGGGCACTCAACCATTTATAAGTGACTCTGTGCTTTGTTAGCTTGTTGCAAGAGCCTTTTTAGTTCATTGGAAATTTTGTCTCTTTTGCCACTTGATTGAATGCTCAAGTTGCCTCTATGTTCCTAGTTAATAGATTTATTTCCGAAAGTTTTTCCATTAACCAAAGCCGATAATTCGCCAGCTGTTTTCTTTTTCAAACACAATTTTCAAATTCAACTGGTACGAACAACAACAACGCTCAATACAACGCTCGAAACGAGCGTCATTTTAAATAAAAATGTCATCGGTACCAGAAAAGAGTAAGATTTATAATTTTCTTTATTAACTCTATTTAATAATAAATTTTTTTTTTTATAGCCAAAAAAAAAACCAGTGACGAGGGCTGCAGTTTTAACTCCACCTCACGTTTATCCATAAGAAGATCATACAGCATGGAAAGTTAAGCAAAAAATCGTTTTTAAAAACAGGCCCTAAGAGTCTGCAAGTGGGCAAAAAGTTCGTTGGTCACAGCTATGGCGGAAACTTCATTGCGTTCCCTCAAAAAGATTAAAGAACAATCTGAAACGCATAGGCAGCGAGTGAGAAATGAAAAAAAGAAAACTAAACAGGAACGCATTAAACAGGCGCGTGAAAATAAAGTCAGACCGAAACAAGGCTACAAAGTGGAGAAAGATGATCTAGCATCGTTAGTTAATAAATATAAGAAATTATCGGATAATCGAACCAGTGTAGACAATAATACGATTAAACAGGCGAAACGTATCAAGTGGTACACTGAGTGAAATGTATAGTTATTAATAAGAGATTTAGGAAACAACCTCATCTTGTCATCTTTCTGCAACTTTCTTTTTGTTCACCAGTCATGGTGTAGAGTATACCGAGTTTATGTGGACGGTCGTAACACCCAGAAGAACTTATGAGAGACCCACCTCAAATTGTACCAAGATTGAATACAACAAAATAAGACGGACACACGGACAAACACTCACTAGGGCCAGTTGCCCTTTAATAAATATTAAGACAGTCTAAATCTATTCAGAAAATAATTCTGAATCGCTTGGCATGACAAAAGTGATTCTTTCTCATTTTCATATCGTTCTTGCATATATCCAAACAAACTTGCTATACCCTTACAATATAGAAAGTAATTAAAACAAAAAAATATTGAAATGTTGTTGTTTTGTTTAGTTTTTTAATAATGAATAGTGGTTAGATACACAGATATTTTAATTTTAATTTATTATTTTAATGCAAGAAACAATTTAGTTAGTTTTTATCTACGGCCAATTTTTTTTGATCCGTATCGCATACTAATAAATTGCTTCTTAAACGGGTGCTTTCCGCGTTGAGCGAAATTAAATTTAACCGCCCCGGGCATCGTGGCCAAAAATAAATATACAACCAACCTTCAGCATTCTTAAATTGCGAAGGAAAATTTTGCGAGGTAATAAATGGAGTGCTAGTGGCCAAAGATACGAAGAATAACTTGCTGTACAAATCAAAATATCTAAATCCGGCGTGGCCAAAAGGCTTTGTAAACGAGGAGTTTGACATAGCGTACGACTTGTTTGATGCAGCAACGGGTAGATTTTAGTCATATCTTCATCTATAACTTTCGATCACATAAAAATATATCAGCGATCAGTTATCTAGGTATTCGTGTTGATTCAAAAATAATCATAATCGGATTACATTCTTTATGTTCATAATCGATCAAGGAATGTTTTTGCTCGAATTTAAGCCTCGTGCCTTAATTTTACGGTTATGGCGATTCCCCAAAAATGATAAGTCAGATTGATGTACGTTGATAGCAATAGGTATATTTCCAAAACCAGACTTGGCAGAAAAAATAGGTACGTAAAAGTCTTTGCAGCTAAATAAAAGTCACCAACAAATTTTGTACCTTTACATGCTTTGTAACAATTTTTTTGTCGCTCAAATATTGAAAAATGCCAAAATGACACAATAATTCTAGGTATTTTAGAAAAATTATTTTTTATACAAATTTGGAGGCACGAAATATTAAAACGTTCATTACTAACTTTGCTCATTATAAGGACGTTCATAGGCGGATTACGTCCAGTTTGTATGTGGGTATGCATATCAACTTTTATCTTTCTATCTTTTTTTTTTTTTTTTTTTTTTGGTATGTTGAACAGAGATGGACTAAGCCAATCTTAATCTTTGTGAACTTAAATTATAACAGCAGATGGTAATATAGCAAAAAAGAGAGCGAAGGAACGGATGCAGATACTTACAGATAGGTATAGCTAAAAATAGACCCAAAATCTTAAACTAATCAAGATACACTTTTGTGGACTTTAATAAAATTGCTTTACTTATTGCACCACTTGTATTAAAATTTTGCGGATAGCCAGGAGGATTTGAGATTGATGCATCTTCTACTGCTTCTTGTCTGTCCCATTCTAGTGTTCAAAACACAAATCGCAATTGTCGAGACACTTTGATAGTACATCAGCTTCTTGCACATTGCACATTGTTCAAATCAGATGATTTATTTTGAAAAGTCGTTTTATGAATAACTGTTTTAAGCAAAGTGGTGCTGTGTTTTTTAATGTTGGGCCGCAGTCCATTGTATTGTTTGTGCTTTTTTTTAAACATAACCTTTCAAAAAAATATTTCTTATTCTTCCACTTTTAGAGTAAGATATTAAATATATTAGCTGGATCAAATTTAGTTCAGTTTTGAAAATATTTTCCGAGTTTGATGTTTTTTCCATAATATTTTACCGGCATACCACACCACCAACGCTATCACGCTTATTATCACTATAGCCAAAACAAAGTAATATACGAACAAGTCTTGAAGATGCAATTCTTTTAAAGGTATAATAACCATTGGACTATGAAGTGGCGTTGCGCCATATTGTAATATATAATCTAACCAAAATATGGCGGTGGCCAAACCGCCTAAAGGACGATCGCGAAACATTTTTGATACGTTTCTAATATTAAGCACGAAATCTTCATTGCCAATAATTGTTTTTAAAGCCCATTGTAAAGACTCCGTTGTCATGTTCACGTAATCCAGACGTACACCAATTTTCAGTTTTTCCACCAACTCACTATTTTTAAACTCATTTTCAAATAACGGTAAGGCCAACATTGGAGTCATACGTAGAATGCCCTCTTGTAAGCCAAAAAGATCACCGCTCATGATGAAAAGTTTAACATGAGGATGGGCTAATATATCAGTTTGTGGCACCATATGCTGCAATAAAACGGTGTCCGGTAATCCCTAAATTGAATCCATAATATATAGGTTAGATTCGAAATGGATATAGAATAAAGCGTACATGTTTGTTTACAATTCTTAATACTTACATGTAAGCTTTCCACGTCATGACAAGTCCAAAGAATCCTTTCCGAACGCGCTTTGAATGCCTTAAGGAATGTTCGAAGCTGATCCTTTGGTATAGTAGAACATAAATGGTGATCACCCAAATGCATGTATATAACACCGGAACGTGACTCATCCAAAAAACGCTTTATATGCCAAGGTAACGCACGAGGGCTTCGTATTTGCATTCCTCCTACCGCTATCATATTAGTTAGCATAGGTCTTGGAGTAACCAAAGGTATGTAATTGTTCACCAATAGTAGAGCCAGGTTAGCATGTGGATTGGAAATTGAGGCCAACGTCGTATTTGCGCCATTTTTATTAAAATACTTTTTAATTAATTTTTCCTGTTTAGCGTAGTGTTTACGCCTCAGTGTCTCTCTTTTGCTGAAACATTGATATATATTTAATCTTTGCCAAAATCCGAAATTTTTATTCAAATGTTTCCATGGATAAGGGAGACATGCGGCTGGCACTGTACTATCTTGAATATCATCCATATAGTTGAGAAAGTCTGAGCTTATTATACCTATTGTGGGCACATCAAAAAAGGAACCAATTGCCATTAAAGATTCCGTGTAAAATAAATCCACTATTATGATATCATAGTTGAATTCATCTGCGGGAAGCTTTAGAAGTTTTTGAACCTGATAATTGGAAAAGAAATATTCCATCAAATTAAAACCCGCCGAAGCTAAAGATGTTTCCAATCTATTTGTAGTCACTCTACTAAGCTCCAAAACATTATCTTTAATACCAGATTGCTTTTGAACTACAATTAAAGAAAAATGAAGAAGTAATTCGTTAATTATTTTAAACGTATAAATTGAACTAGCACTGAGAACCGACCGCCATTTCCGATCAATGTATAAAAGCTTCGTTATTCTTATTTGTCGTCATCGCAAGCGTCGCTTACGTTTAGTCTGTTCAATACTTACTTACAAGACTTGAATGAACAATGTGTACTACGGCTGCTCATGCGGATGCAAGAACGTCTAGTAAACGCATAAAGACACTTTATAAGAAAGATGGAAGGCAAGAAAATTAAGTTTTTTAATAATTCGGTTTTTGGAAAGGCACATTTTTCAAGAGATATCTGCTATCCACCTTAATTTATTGATGGAAAAATTGATTGATTTTAAAAAATTTAAGGGGCGAAGCGCACACATTTCCAATGTGGATATGGATTAGAAATGTATATGAAACCCTTCTGTGCTAGTTATTAGGGTCTTTAGAAGTTCAACAATTGAAAGACTGCCAGAATGACTTGAAAAATTGTGTTTACACGGGTTTATATGGTATTTCTCGTGAGGGCTCTGAAAAAGTAATGGCAGTATTTAATATTTGGCGATTTTAAGCGTACAGAGTAGTGACACCGTAACTATTCGATTCATTTGGTATGTAATCATCAAACGATTTTAATAACTTCGCTACAAATTCTGCTTCCGTGGTATTAGAGATTTTACAGTAACCGCAATGATCATTTTGTGTTTAATCCAAACTCAACATAATAACTGATTTTATAGCCGTCTTTAGTTTACGATTGCTCCAGATTGTTCCCTGCTCGGCTGCTCTTGCGGTTCTCTATCGATGCTATCGACTCTCTTGAGTGCTATTTAGGTCAAATGGATGGTGAATATATTTTTACTCGTAGTGTTTGCCAAAAGTAGGGCACAAGACGAGCCCGCGGCAATAGTATTTTTCTCCCGTAGCGACTGAATCCAGTTTGACTGAAAAAGGCCCTACGGCGGTTGCAAAGATGATCACAAAGCAATCTAAAAATTGAATTAAAAATTTTAATCTATGTTAATTAACGTTTTCAATTTTGCTGACTTTGAAAACAGACACATGTGCGTGGCAAACTCTCCCTCCCAAAAATTAAAAATTTTTCTCTTTTTTACGGTGCGTAAGTGGCAAAAGTTTCACACGAAATCTCATAATTCTGACCTTTTACGGTGGCGCGGTGGTTCCAATAACAAAACAGTAAAGTTCTCTATACCTTCCTGCCAAAATTCGTATTCCGGTTCGATGATATATTCCTTAAGATTTTCTAATCTTTCATCCAAGCGATGACCAGTATAAAGAGTTATATTGTGGTCTCTGCTGGCTAATTCCAACATGAACGTCCGCATCAAAACAAAATGACTCTCACTACTGTGAGGAAATAAACCCAAAATTTTTGCACTACATGTCCAATGTATCCGAAAACAAAGAAATAACGCCATTATGGTGAAATGTGTTGGCAGGAACTGTGATAGAGCCATCTAAGAAATACAGATTACTCAAAGAATTTTATTGCTTTTTACTTAAAAACATGAATGTATATACGCAAAGATCGACCTAAAAGTTCAAGTTGCACTAGAAGCCGCTAGAGTTTACGTTTGCTTTGAAAAATTCTTCTCAGGGCTCTTTGCGGTTTATACATTTCTTGTGATTCTTATTATTAATTATTTTTAATATGAAATATATATAAAATATTATTATACTTTAATTAATTTTTTTAACTTTTCTTTGTTTAATAAAATATTTGTAAATTTTTTTTTCTTTTAATTTATGTGCTGTGTATGAGATACTACTTCGGTCTTATATTTTCACAATTCGCAAAACACTAACTATTTACATTATTTATATTTCACTTACTCTGGAGAATATCAGGAGTACTTTCAGTTTTATTGCCACTATGTTAGCATTCATTTATTCATTCATTAGAAATGAAAAACGTAAAAATATATAACACATACGTGATAGCATGAACATAAGCATAATAATTTGAGAGAATGAGAACAAGAACAATCGTCGTTTTAGCGTCGCAGAGATAACGATCATTGTAATAATGTTTATATCAGAACAGTACAGTTGAGAGTAAAACTTCTTAAATTTAAGAAAAATATGATTTTTTCATCTTACACAACACTCAGAGAATTTTCCCTGTTCGAGTAGTACGGTGACGTCGTAAAGAAGCGGGAAAAGAGAAAATGATAGGAAATCGGCCGTAGCCCAGTGGTTGTGCACGGTCGCTAAGTGTTACGCCGATACCGACCAAACACTCAGACTCGAACACAGACTTAGTATTCGCTATTCTTACCTTCTCGTATAACGGCTGTATCGTGCTGTAGAGCATCTAGTGGAGCACCTCGATCCACTGCAGAGTATCTAGTGGAGCACCTCGATCCACTGCAGAGTATTTAATGGTTCTCATTTAATTTCTTAGCCTATCCTATTGAATGAGAACATTTGCGCTATATTTTGAGTTTCCAGAACAAAATTTTGATATCGTGAGACCTTCAGCTTATCTTTTGGGTTGTTTTCTGGCTGATGCTCCGTTACTGCCAATGCTTAGTCGAACGCTATTCACTTCTTCGGAATTGAAATGCTGTGATGAAATTCTAACACACGTTTCCATGCTGAAAGTGTAGTCCGTCTTCATTATAACCACTGCTAATGTAGCCGATTCTCACAATCATGTCGCCAAACGAGTTTTTGAAGCGGCCAAGGTTGCTATATATGCTTTCGTATAGAACGGCAAAAGTAAAGAATTTTTTCGAAAATACTATTTAAACTATCGTCGTCTGATGAGAACCGTAAGTTTGCGAGGCCATCTGGCGTGCTTAACAAGTATTATATATATTATATCTTCGCTTGATGTCGTGCCATGGGGATTTATATAAAATATTGCGGTATATAAATTATTGCCGGATACTATTAATATTGCTTACTTACATTCTAAGCGAGTTTGAAGAAAAGGGCAGATAGCAACATAGATGTAGCTGGGTTAAACAAGTGCATCTTTGTGTAGTTTTGTTCGATTTCTGACTTGAGTTTCTCGGTGGCGGAACTATCATTTCGCATTCCTTCGATGATTGTTTGCATGAAATTGCAAAAAACTTGACAGTACCCCATGTGCTGCATATTAATCCTAAAACCGTTTCATTTTTACATTCGATCAACGTCGACAAAGGCCGAAAGCTTGGGAAAAATCCGCCTTGATCATATTGCAACACACCAATTATATCCTTAAAAAATCTACTGAACCAATTTACAATTGCGGGCAAAATCTCACTTTGTGAACGCGAAAAGCTTTCAGATGTTCGAACACTTGCTTTCGGACCGTCTAATCTTATGGACGTCTTCAAAGTACTTGGAAAATGTAATATCAGTAAAATACTTGATTATCAATACACACAATCTATACAAACAATAAGTAAGAAAATTGTATTCGATCGTGACCGAATCTTTTATACCCATCAGCGTTATTCTAAAAAAGACAAACGAATTAAAGGAACTATATATTCACGCTCTCCAATAGAGAACGGGCGCGGCAGAATTGTTCTATTCTCAAAATAAAACATTTTGTCACATGGGCGTGCGAATGTTGTAGGTGTGTCCTTTCAACAGTTATGGACACTTTCAAATTCTTTTGCGTACGGGAAAATATTTATCACAGATAGTACACAGTTGGTCAGAGAGACAGATGGATAGACGAACAGACAGACATGCTTATGTGCATGCCGGTTTTCAAGCTGGCCGAGAATTTATATGCTTTATGGGGCTTTCGAAGCTTCGGCGCGTTATATACGTATAGAAAAAAAGAAGTTTTGACACACTATAACATCGGATAGACTTGGTCAATTTGCTAGTGCTTATTCTATTTTTTAAGCCCTACAATTTATATCTTGGGTCTAAATAAACTATGACATTAATAAAATTTGTAATCAAGTTACACGTTGGATGACACTTAGTTGAAATAAATGAAACTACAAACATAGAAATATCTCTTTATTTGGCTAAACTTTCCTCAAGATTCATATTCGTCTACGCGGGTAGGACCTTTGAAAAAATGTTTCAAATAGAAATGACTTAACTCATTTTCCTTCCTTGACTGTTTATTGACTTGTTTTTAATGTAATTTTCATCTCAATAGTGGGTCGACCGGCGGGGGTAACTTTTTTCTACAAAGGGGCAGTTTTAATTTTCGTATCACAGAAGGATCAAAACAAAGCCAACTACGGCATTGTGCATCATTGTTTTCAAATCACTAATTTTATAGCCTAATGAACAAAATAAATACCTAAACACATTTCATAGCTGATAGCTGCACAGCAGAACCGGTCCTGTTGGCAGATACATCCGCCCGGCTCTCGATCAACTCACGGGCTGGATGCGACGGTCAGTTGCTCATGCCTGGTTTAGACAAATATATTAATATATTAATATAAGCAGAAACAAATCAAAATGCAGCAGTGGGACGCGGCTCATCATGAAATGTCGTACCCCAAGCAACCTAGAGTTATTCCTATAACTACTTTTCAAAAAAGAGACGTTATATGGGAAATAACCGAAATAGTGGTCCAATCCGAACTCTTTTCAACGGCCTTTGCGAATTGAACAAAATACATCGGTGCACCAAATTTCATCAAAATATCTCAAAAATTGCGAACTGTAGAATAAGCACGAGAAAGGAACGAATGACAACAAATAACGAAATAACGCGTGAATAGGAAGTAGTATCTCCGATTTGGAACCTTTTAAATAGCCTTTTAGCACATACGGACAGACGGACAGAAAAGCTTAGACCGATTCAGAATCGCTTTCGGTATTACAAAAAGGTGGGTCTGTCTCAAATCTTTCTGGGTGCAGCATACATCCCTACAAACTTAATATACCGTCGCATCAACAAACGGTGTAAGGTATAAAAGAAAAGAACGATAGGCAAAATCATGAAGATATATAGAGATATGTTGTCAGAAGCAGATAACATTTAGGCATAAGAAAAAAGGACCGTTTTTTGCGAACACAAATTCAATAGGTTCTTATACAGCCCGCTTACTGAACTTGATTGCATTCAATAAACAGGTTCCATTGTGCCATATGTGAAAAATGAATACATACTGAACAATTAACAAGTAGTTAACAAGTAGAATGTAGCGCATGTTTGTTGTTATCTCGTGGGTTATTGACATAACGTGCCGTGCTCAAAATGAAAGAATATATTTGTATTTACGGGTTTTTTCATTTTATTTATTTTTTTTTTTCGATTTATTGCTTTCTTTTCTTTGTTAATTCAATTATAAACGTGATCTACTTGGACTAAAAGATTTCTTTTGTTATTATATGTATTTTAATTATTTTTTTCTTGATTTCATTTCCCTAAGAAACTCGATCGTTCTTTGTTTTCCTCTAAATGGAAGCGTAAATGCCGTTTAACAATTTAATTTATTTAAAACTTTAACTTTCTATTTGTTGAACATTTTAATAATTGAATATTTAAAACCCATTTTATATTACTTTTTAGAAAAAATATGAAAAATAACCTAAAAAATGATTCGCTGTTGATTCTAATTTAATTTATAAAATCATTTGAATTTATTCTGTCGCATCGGCTTTGGCAACCGAGAAAGGCTCAGATACTAATAAAGCGCCACAATTCGTTATGACTACGTCTTTAGCGGGACGATCGCGGCCGTCTGTTTGTGTATTTTCAATTTTTCGCACCACATCCATGCCGGACAATATTTTACCAAATACCACATGACGTCCATCTAACCAGGACGTCTGCTTTGTAGTGATAAAGAATTGCGAACCGTTTGTATCTTTTCCAGCATTGGCCATGGACAACCATCCTGCGCCATAATGTTTCAATTTAAAATTTTCATCAGCAAAACGTTCGCCGTATATAGAACGACCTCCAGTGCCGTCACCTTTAGTGAAGTCACCCCCTTGTATCATAAAGTCCTTAATGACGCGATGGAATTTGCTGCCCAAATATCTAAAAAATAAGAAATTATAACTTTCCTGTTGAGAGGATAACGCAAAAAGCTTTGTGCTTAATAGTTTGAACGATTTTCTTTCTATTTATTTGTATTTTCCATGCATCCAATTATTATCGTGTTCACACTACCTGTATACATATTGATTTCGCTTAAGGGGAATTCATGTAAGGTCAAAGAGTTCTTTTGCTATATATGTATATGCAAATGAAATGAGAAGTTTAGTGGGTGCGTCCGCAAACTCTCCAAAAGGATTTTATTTATTTGCACTTGTCCCAAATTTTGCCCCGAATTTGGATTTCTAGCTTGTACGTTATTGATGAAAATATTTCAACACTCTTTCTTTATTCCACGCCCATTTCAAGTTACTTTAACAATTGTAGCCTGCTCTTAGGAATAAATTTTAGAGGTGAAGAAATGGTACTTAGTATTAATTTCATAGTTCTGGTAACTTTATTGCACCGTAAGATGCAATTTTGCCCTTTATGAAAAATCGTGGAGTTTGCACCATGTGGTCTTGAAAAACAAAAGCCGATACTCCTTATTGTATTTGGCGATAGAAACATGAAATCCTTCTTCAATTATTAAAAATACTTTTAAAATATCCAAACCGCACACAGATTATATATGTTTATACACATTATTGTCTTATACTAATTTGGACAAAAATCAACTAAGTGACATAAATGCTTTAATCGCTTCATTAGAAAAAAAAATCACTCAACGTCATAACCTTAATTTTTTTTTATTTTACCGAACTTTTAATATATTAATAATACTTACCCTTCACCCTTAGGTTTTGATGCCAGTTGCTTGAAATTTTCAACTGTTTTTGGCACTGTTTTACCAAATAAACCGATTTCAATCCGTCCAGTCGGTTCTCCATCTATTGTAATATCAAAGAAAACCTGAACATGAAAACAATAAAAATATTTCATTCTTTAGATAAATATGAAAACTTTAGAAAATTACCTTATCTGTCACTTTAGGTCCTTTGTTCTCATCTCCTTCGGCTTTACCAAGGCCAAGCCAGGCCATCAAATACAAGCATGTTAACAGCTTCATTATTTTGATACAAACTACTTTTCAATTTTTTTCACTAAAATCACATCCACAGCTTCGTGGTATTCTGCGTACGAGCGGACCAGCAAGGAAGTGTTTATATGTTGCTATGTTATCAATTGTTCTTATTTCTACCTATGACTTTGCTATTAATAAATAAGGAGCACACATGTTAGAATAGCTCAGCTATAAATTGTAGATATTTTCTTAGGGCACACGTAATTGTTCTCAAGCACTTCCGCACGTTTTGATTGGTTTTTTTAACAGCTCTGTCAAAAGACAAATATTTAAGATTACGCTCTAAAAATTTTTGAATTACGATATTTGAAGTGATGTGATTCATTTTTAAATATCAGTGCTAAAATACGATATAACAATAATCGTCGATGTTTGTGCACGTATGTATATGTTACTTATAGGAATAAGCGTTTGGTCACACATTATGTATGTATGGTATTGTTATTATTAAGCCTGGACTAAAAGTCATATACATGCAATAAAGTCGACGAAAAAAGTCACGTATATTTAACAAATTCAGGTTCGATAAGGTTTGAATGCCCAATCAAGTCGCCGGATACGAATACTTGTATCAAACACATCATTTTAATTCATAACAATTTAGGATTCCTACGTACACAAGGAATATACAATTTAATTCACAATATAAATATTGAAGAATTCACAATATAGACGAGCAAGATAATATTAAACGTCGATACGAAAATACCAAACAATTAAAATTAAAATCGATTAATTGACAAAAGGCTTCTTCCAAACTTTAAAATACGTCCATTGTCGTCAGTATACTTCAGTTTTATATTAGGCTTAGCATTGCCCTTCTGCCGAAAATGTACTTAGTACAACTTAAACAATTTAGAAATTTTCAAAATGCTTTTTTTGGCATAACAAGGACAATAGTACGGTCTGAGCTCGGCATTAGGACCCTTGCAAATAAATGTGCCGCAATAAATAAGTAAAACTGAATTTTTATGCTAGCATTTTTTCTCTAACTGTTACCTTTTGGTTTTTAGCCCGTATTATGTGTTGATGTTAATCACGAATTGTGCTTTCTTTATTAGGCATACAAGCTTTAACCCTAAAACTACCAAGGGGGGTCAAAATGGCTTGTTTGACGTTTTTTATAATTATAACTCATTTCAGATGCATTTTGTTTCAGAAAATTTTGCACGACTTTTTCTAAGATATACAAATAATTAATTTTGTTAAATTGTTATATTTTTTTTTTATAATTTTGTTGTAAATTTGTATGCAGTATACCTACTTATATACCGAGATGAGTCATTTTCAAAAACTTATAAAATAAATAATTTAGAAGAAAATAGTTCCGATACAGAGTATGATGAAAGTGTTCTGGTTGAAAGTACAAATGAATAACTTCCAACAGACAATGAATGTCCAAGCGAGTCATCCGATACTGATAATGAAGATGGAGTAATTCGGCGTTTGCGTAGAAAAAGTAGAAATGCATGCAATGGACCAAGATTCAGATTTATCTGTTCACGGCACTATGTGGAAAAAACTACAAGAAGGTTCAACACCAGGAAGAATACCAGTACACAACATTTTCAAAGAAATGCCAGGTCCAACGATATACGCGAAACAACATATTATGAAAGGTAGTGTAAGAACAGCATTTTCTGTGATACTTTGCAATAGTGTTATGAGACTTATTAGTTTGGGGAGAAAGAAATCCATTATTTTTTCGGTAGATGGCTGCACTGATAGATTTCTCGTAAAGTATCGATCAAACAATTTCATATTTATGCTCGTTGGAAAGGTGACATTTCGCAGTAAAAAAAATTCTTTTGCTGTTTTTTGTTTGGTGCATTCAGTTGTGAGTTACAGCGTGTTAAAAATGGAAGTGAACAAAGAGAAAATTCGGTACATTTTATAGTTTTTTTTTGACAAAGGCGAAAATGCAAGCCAGGCGGCTAAAATTGTGAATGGTGTTTATGGTTCCGATACTGTAACAGCCAATTATGTGCAATTTTGGTTTCGTAGATTCCGTTCAGGAATTTTTGATGTTAAAGATGCACCTCGCACAGGTAGGCCGGTCGTCGAAAATGTCGATAAAATCGGAGAAATGATCGAAGTTGACCGGCATGTTAGCAGTCGTAACATCGCCCAGGAGCTAAAAATCGACCATAAAACAGTTTTAAACCATTTACACAAAGCTGGATTCAAAAAGAAGCTCGATGTTTGGGTGCCACACCAATTAACAGAAAAAAACATGATGGATCGAATTTCCGTCTGCGAAGCCTTGGCCAAACGGAATGAGATAGACCCATTTCTTAAACGGATGGTGACTGGAGATGAGAAATGGATCACATACGATAACCCTGTGCGAAAACGATCGTGGTCAAAGAGCGGTGAAGCACCTCAAACGGCCAGGAAGGTTTTGCTACGCATTTGGTGGGACTGGAAGGGGATTATTTATTATAAGTTGCTTCCATATGGCCAAACGCTAAATTCTGATCTCTACTGCCAACAACTGGACCGTTTGAAGATAGCGATTAACCAGAAACGGCCAGAATTGGCCAACAGGAGAGGTGTCGTGTTCCACCAGGACAACGCTAGGCCACACACATCTACAGTGACTCGCCAGAAACTTCGGGAGCTTGGTTGGGAAGTGTTAATGCATCCGCATACAGTCCGGACTTGGCACCAAGCGATTATCATCTTTTTCTTGCATTGCAAAATTTCTTTAATGATAAAAAATTGGAATATAGGGAGGATTGTGAAAATCGACTACTAGAGTTTTTTGCAAATAGAGACCAGGACTTCTATTAGAGAGGCATTTTGAAATTACCTTTAAAATGGCAATAAATCATACAACAAAACGGTGCATATTTGACCCAAATCGGACAATCCGAAGCATGTTAAATAAAGTCGTGAAGTTCATATAAAAATAATGGATTTCTTTTTCCCCAAACTAATATAAAAACTTGCATGGAAGCAGAAGCTCGTCGAATTCTGAATAACATTGATTGAACGGAATTAAATTCGTTTATAGCAATTTCATATGCTCGTGGTGCACACGAAGCAAAAACCTTAAAACTTTCATATTTATGGTCCGAAAAATAGGATGCCAAACTTTTTTCTGAGACAATAAGCTGAAATAAATTTATCGAAATTCTTCGGCTAATTCGGTTCGATGAAAAATATGAAAGAAGTCAAAGATTGCAAACATATAAATTTGCATTAGTTTCAGAGGTATGGAATAAATTCATTGAAAACAGTCAAATGTGTTATAAACCAGATGCTACCATTACAGTTGATGAGCAATTATTCCCGACCAAAGCCAGATGTAGATTTACGGAGTGCATGCCAAACAAGCCGAATAAGTTTGGCATAAAATTGTGGTTGGCGTCGGATGTAAAAGGTAAATATGTTGTAAATGCATTTCCCTACCTAGAAAAAGCCGAAATGAGACTATCCGTGAATTTGTTGTCCTAAAACTTATAGATCCATGCATTGATTGCGGAAGAACAGTTACAACAGACAATTTTTTTACAAGTTTGTCATTAATAAATAAAAAAACTTCCTTAGTCGGCACCATTAGACAAAAAAAGAGAGAACTACCTAAACTTGCAAAATCAAAAAAGATGCTCAGTTCAAAACATAAGTCAGTAAAAATTGAAAAGGATGGCAAACGTTTACCTGGAACAGTTACATTTTATAACAATACCAAATTTGGCGTATATGTTACGGATCAAATGACACGGAAATATACTGTGAAAGCTGGATCCCGAAGGCAGGCATTACAAGTGTTTTAGAATATCCTAGACCTTGCGGAATAAATGCCTGGACATTATATAAGGAAACAATAGGAGAAAATATTTCAACAAAAGACTTTTTATTCCAGTTATCCGAAGAACTTGCAATTGACTACAAATAACTAACCGGTCGATCTACAGTTCCAGCAGAAGAGATATCATCGTCTAAATCGTCACGGAGCCAGACGCATATTTCGATGAAACGTAAATTAATAATAAAACGAACAATATTTGTGGTACATGCCATAAACGAGTCTGTGGTAAATGTTCTGCTAAAATAACTGTAACTTGCAAGCAATGGCTTTGATTTTATAAATTTTTGCTATTCTGTTATTATTATTATTATTATTCTATTATTCAGACTATATTCAATTTTTGTCCATAAAAATAAAAATACATAAAAATTAAACATTGCTAGTCTTTTGTTGTAAATGTCTTGATAATTCAAGAGACAAATTATTTTGATCGTCGGTAGTTCTAGTGTTAATAATAGAACATCTTATTCTTGTATTATGGACATATATCAAATGTAATGTACTCAGCTCGCCGAATTGCAAGCTTGAAGATAAAAAATAATGGCGCAAAAATAAAAAGATAATTAAAAACGAACAAAATTGTCTTTAAACGAATTTATACGCTTTACGCCTGCAACTCAACCTACTCTATATACTCCATATCTTTAGTTTCGCATGCGTTAACTTGATTCGAACGTGGACGTTTAAGTGTTCTATCGTTTGGAGAGAGGCCGCAAACCCTACTGAATCAAACGGAACATTTCGATAGAGCAAAATTAGTCAATCTTTTGAACTACTCACAAGATAAAACAAAAATTGCTGAACTTTTAGATTTTATACGAGTCATTATAGCGGAGGAATGTTGTACGAATTCAGATAATGGTATCTTTGAGAATCTTTTGCTAATATTTAGCGAAGGAAAAACCAAGGTTTGTAAATAATTCTAAATTACGTATCCAATTTTACTATTCTATTCTATTATTGCTTTTCAGGTTAAAAATTCAATAGAATTGGCGCGTTTACAGGGTGTATTTCTGCTTTACATTATAATTGATAATCCGGAAAATAAGAATTCGATATTGGATATACAAACCATGGAAATGCTTCCTGATAAAAAAATTAATATAAAATCGTATTTAGATGATTTCCCATATCCTTATTATGCGATCGTAAGAGATCTTAATCAATTGCCTTTAGTTTTAAGTGAAGCAATGCGTCAATGGTTTGAATTGGTTAATCAATTCAATTGAAATTGAATAAAATAAGATTTTAAAGGATTTATATTAAACTACAATACTGTTTGTTTTTCTTTCTTTCTTTCTTTCTTTCTTTCTTTCTTTCTTTCTTTTCCTTATCATAGAATAATAGAATACGGTTATACACAAAACCGTGATATTGCACTCAACTTACATCATTTTGGAATTTAATGGTATTATAAAAGTTCTACTTGTAAATCGAAGGGATAGTTTTTGGAATTTAAGCTTTGTCTAAAAAGCTGTTTATGCTGCCAAGCAACGTCACCTTTACCTCCCGATAATTTGGCACAAATCTCAAAACGGGTACAGTTTTCGATATCCGTGACCGCAATTTCGTCACAAGGATGTATTAGGAGTTCTACGTTACCTTCTCCAAATGTTTTCATCTCAAAGCGTAGAGTGTATGTTTTCACTTTAAATTTGGAAGTTCCAAAATCAAATTTCCACAAGATTTCCGTACTCTGACTGTCTTCTTGATGAGCCCGATAAGCACTTATTGAGCACTTATAAGCAATTAAGTTACAACTTCAATTTCTGTTAAGAGTACCGCAACAAAAACACTTAAAAAGGAAATTTTTTATATTGTATCATCATCATTTTTTATATGTATATCAATAATATAATCTTTCTATTTAATTCACTTCTAACCAAGAAAGTTGATTGGGTCTTACAATGATAAAATCAAAAAGCAATTATACCGGAAAGTTGCATATCAAATAAAATTAATACTAGGACAATTAATTAATAACACACTACAAAAAGGAATTTAAATAAAGAGAGAGATGCGGTTCATGAATAGCAAATGCAATACTCAATAAGCAATTTTAATCTCAAAGTTCAGCTAGTTGTCCCCAATTACTTAGCGGCAGATTTACTTTACACACAATAAGTGACTCGCGGAAACAATAATAAACATACATTTGATTTAATAATATCATCAGTATTACAACCCTTTTTACTTTTTTTTTTTTAGAAAGATGTCGTAATTCTGTTAGTTGTTTCAAGGTTAGGTGATGACATTCGGTCGTTTAGTATTTCAACTGACCCCTATTTATTGCATAAACTTCGACGAGAAATTACTCAATTGTGTTCATATTCTTTAAGTGCACTTGCATCAATTTATGGTCATTATAATTTCTCCAATGGATTTGAAAAAAGAGTATGTCTATAAACTTCATTGTTTTGTTGTCACATTGACATCATATGAGAAGAGCGTAGTGCGAAGAAAATATTGCAACTACTCATGATGCAAGGGGATGGCTTGTTGGATATTTCATGAATTCTAGTAAATCTGGTAAACTCCTATAGGTATTGTGTGGTGGATTAAATTGCAATAAATATTGAAAAATGTGATCGTTCATGTCATGTTCATAATATTGGCAAAATTTACGTTTAATATACATTCATTAACAACAAAAATCTATATATGCAAAAATTTTATAAAATAAACTGCCAGTTTTTATAAGTTCTTTAATACTTTTTATAATAGTGTTTGCACATGAGATTTTTTGGCTTACTTATAAATGCAGAATTCTATATAAAACTTTGACATACTTTTTTGTTATAAACTCAGCCGTAGCACATTCTGAAGTTTCGTAAGAAACATTAGATTGTACTTCAATTGCATTTTGTTCTTGTCTGCAATTGTAATCAAAAAAATAGGTTTCAATTAATTTAATAAATTTTGAAGGAAGCTGCCATTAGTACTTACCTTAATATCACATCATTAATAACCTGTTTTTCGGTACCCGTATATTCCGAACGTCGTCGCCCTATTTTCTTTTCAATATCGGCTTCAATAAATTCTTCCAATGGTTTCGTGGGGAATTTATTTACTTTGGCAGGAGGTGGTACATCAAGTTTTAAATCTTTCAGCTTCTTCATTACTCGCTCCAAAGCTTCAACAACCTAATCGTCGTTGTAACCAAAATTCTTGTGCAATTTAACTTGCAAATATTCAATAATAGAATCCATGTCTATCAGGCGTAACAGTTCATTTTTGTGCAAGTACAATATTGTTATTGCCATAGCCGTAATGACCCGATCACCTTCCAGCAGAAAAATGTCCCATACACGTAAACTTAAGCTGAAGGGTATCTAAATACAATAAATTTAACACTATTCACATGTTCACAAATACATGTTTCTAGGCCATACCCTTTCCAAAAACACTACAAAAAACCATTTAATTGAATACAATATAGCGTCGACGTTGTGCTTTATAAAATGCTGATGTAATTTACGCATGATTTTTGACATTATATGGTCGTGATGTTCCAAAAATCGTGTCAATTTTGGAAATCCTTCTATAAATAAGCCATGCATTGCATTATCCACTATTAAGATATTTAAGGCACAAAATGCCTCTTCTTCTTGCATATAGAAAAGAAGAACGGCTCCAACGCAAGCCATAAGAATGGTAAACATTTTGAATTGTAACCATTTATTGGCACCTACAGCAAATTTAACATTATCGGAAAGCACAAAGAATTGTACAATAAACATTGAGTTGTTTTATTAAATGTTTTAATAAAATTGAATATGATTTAAAGTAAACGGTACGAAAAACAACATCTGCAGTTCATTTTCCTACTTTTTTCTTTCTTCCGTATTCTTTGATCAAGCAACAGTTCAATGAGCTAACATTACATCGTACCGTTTACATTTTGCTAATACTCCTTGACAAAATCTATATGCTCTCATCTACGTTGAACTCGGGCTGTTCATGCCGAAGATATTCAATAACGTATCGAGACATTTGACTGCCAAGCAATGAGGTCGCTTACATCATTGGACAATTGATCTTTACTTCTACCAATATTCCATATTATTGATCGCACACTACAAAGCCATCGGTCTGAACGACACTACAACAAAGTAAGTAATGGCTAAAGGTTTCGTTCACTAAGCTTGACATAATGCGATAGTTTACTACTCTTTTATTTTTATCTCTTGATCTTGGTTGGCGAGCAAAAGGCAGCATTGCCAGGGCAACCCGGAAATCGTTTTCGCCCAGCACAGCCTCCATCTAAGTCTTATACAGATTTCAATTAGATGTATGTAGTAATATCTGGTAGCCTTTGCAAAAGGCATATTGAAGCCCTTTGTCTTGGCATACATATCTTTTGAATCAGTCTTCTAAAGCGTCTTAAACAAAACGAAAACAAACAAAAAAAGGATTAGGCATTTTCTAAAGGGATTTGCTTTCCTTTTTTCGCAAACATGAAATGTCTGCGATTTTATGCGACTATGTTTCTATAACTAACTTCCACCAATTATGCCTCAAAACGCTCGCGATCTTTGCGAGCATATTACGCCTAATCTTAGAGCCAATAAAGTGTACGCATTTGAAAGGCGATTACCGCACCGGGCGTCTCATAAATATGAAGAAAATTATACGGTACATAGCCTCGCAGCTTCGCAAAGATGAAATGTGGTTAAGGCGTACTAAACCCGCCCAACGTAATTATAAGATTACTATCGCCATGGATGATTCCAAATCAACAGCTTGAAAATATTGACATTAGAAGCCATACTCGTTGTCGCACGCGATTAGTTTATGGAACGTGTCATTCAAAGCTATACAAGCACCAGCGTCGAATGCTGAGGATATCGAAAATGTATTAAAATCCGAGGAGACTACCATATTCTTCAGGATACCCCAGAACACCTTTCATTGGTCCATTGGCAGCCTCCTTAATTTTTTCTTTAATTGTGCAGCATTGGCTCCGTTTTGTTTACGTACTGCAGAAGAGCAGAATTTCTTAGCTAACCAAATTCACCGGTGTTATTAACGACAAGCGTGACAAACGCTCATAATATAACCTGATCGGTAAATCATGCTCGACTTTCATTTTGGCGCAACTGCTTTTATAAATTTCATACAAACATATGCTGGCCGGATTATCTTCCGCTGAACACATTTCATCCCTCCCGGCTTAATAAAGCCAAAATCTCGAGTAAGCTGCTCTTTCATCAGCTGAAAAATAGGATCTTGGAAAGTCACTTGAACTCGTCTTGCTATAGGCTCGGAAGATGCTGAATCCGATGTTCGCGAAGCCGCAGAACCTGGTATGTTTTCAATACCAATGCCGAATGTGGAACCCAGCTTTTTGACAAAATGTCTAGCATGCGGGGTAATTGTTGCTTCACTAACTATAGTTCAGTGTCAAAAGCAATGGCGTAACATTTCATAAGGCCTTGGCGCAGCCGTCATAGAACTTTCTCGGTCCAACTGTCTGCCAACTCTGTCGCGCGGTATAGTCGTCTATATTTTGTTTCGGCAATTAATATTTTAATCTTTTGTTGAATTTCGTGGCTATTTTGCCTTATAGTGTGTGAATTTATAATATACTTTGAGAAGAAAGTGAGTAAATTCAAAGTAAAAGAAATATTTTTTCTGTACGCTTTGATTCATTGGATTTTTGCAAACAAAAATTTTGAGCTCTGATGTAAATCTCTCTTTTTTTTTTGTTTTCTCTCTTTTTCTCTGGTTATTTTTTCGGTGTTTGTAGTTTATTTTGCTATTGATCTCTCGTTACAGTGTCAACGTAACAGAGAAGTTTTGCACAAATTGGTTGATAAATTTTTATGTTGAGAATTTTTTTTTTTTTTTGCGGTTTTTCTGTCTGTTCTTTATAGTCCACAACTGTCTTTTTGACTGGACATGGAGTGTTTATACACACCTTGTCGGGCGAAAACGGGCCCGGAATCTGATCGATTCGTTTCTTGTTGGCCCTGCAAGCGCTTTGGTCACGCAAAGTGCGCCGGTATTCTCGGCCGTGCTGCTGACGCAGTCGGTGACCCGTCTAAAGGCTTAAGATGGTCATGTCCTGACTGTAGGCAGCGGGACATTGACTTTTAGAAACTTTTCACGGAGGCGCGTAATGGTTTCTCGGAATTGAGTAGAAATCTCGGCTCCTTGTGGGAAAAGTTTGAGCTAATTAGGTCTAGGTTTGATGTGTGTCGTTTTATTGGGCACTCATCTTCTACTCGTAGCGTAGCGTGTAGGACGTCACCTCTGGGTTTCTCCAAATCTGGTTCGTTGGTACAAGTTACCGTTCCCTCTAACTCTAAAATGTACAGTAATGTTTCCGATATTGCTGAGTCGGTTGGTAGCAAAACAGTTACAAACAAACCGGCAAGTCCGTCGGTTTTAAGCTACGCCGAAGTGGCAATGGTATCTCCGCCCTGAGCCGCAACTCATTCTAACCAAGCGCCATCGCCTAAAAGTAATGAAGTGAAAAATAAATCATCCTCTCCCCCTGGCTGTTCGCGTGTGAATGCTGGTCACCAGGCTGGGCAAGTTTCACAAGCTGCCGGTACAAGGGCGATAACCCCATCTATATTCTCCCCAACTCTAAACTCTCCTATCGTGAACCCCCTCCTGTTCCAAGTGATGACATTTGCTTGACGGCAGTTCCTCCCAGAAAAGCTATATTTGTGTCAAGACTGGCACCTGAAACCTCGGTGGATAACATAAAAAGTTATCTGGCGGCGAAAGTCCCATCAGTCAACTTGAAGCGCGTTAGCATCTTCAAAATGGCTCCTTCTCAATCTCGGGCAATCTCCTCTTTTAAAATATTAGTTCCGACTGAAAACAATGATATGTTGTTAAACAAACCACTACGGCCAGTAGGATCCTTAATTAAGGAATTTATTCCTCGAGATCGTCCCCGTAATACCAAAGCAATAGTCTTGTCGCCTTCAAAAAGCTAAATGTTTCTTCAGGCCCATTATCTCTCATTTATCAAAATGTTATCTCATATATATCATAATCTCTCATTATCAAATGTTCAAAAATTCGTTCTACTTTTCTAAATTCAGTGAACACAGAGTTCTTCTGTTTGGCCTTCACTGAAACTTGGCTAAAATCCGATCTTCATTCGTCAGAACTTTTTCATAATTCTTTCCAAGTCTTTAGAAATGATCGAGTGAATCGCATTGGTGGTGGTGTATTAATTACCATATCTGCGTCAGTCCCGTCCAATTTAATTGAATTTCCCCCTTCTCCTGACATTGAATTTATCGCTATTCGTGCGAATATGCCTGATAAACATATATTTATAACCTGCTCCTATATTCCCCCAAATTCTGATATCTCCATTTACAAGAAACACGCTGCCCTCATTTGCGAAGTGGCCAAGCGATCTAGACCGAGCGATTTGGTCGTGGCATTCAATTTGCCTCAAGTCACTTGGTGTAGCACTGATAATTCTGGCTGTTTGGTTCCTACTTCAACGTCTGATAGGGTTGTTGTGTTCTTTAGTGAATTCTTTGATCATAATTTGGGTCAATATAATCGTACCCCTAATTGTAATGGTAGACTGCTTGATCTCTACTTTGCCAATTTTCCCGAGATTTACGTAAATCGTTGTTCACCTTTTAGTTTACCTGAGGATCCTTATCATCCATCAATATGCATTTCCTTTCATCATATGAATGATGGTTTGTTGAATTGCCTTAATGTGCCAAATCAAACTTTTTTAAATAAATATTATGATTTTCATAAAATCAATATTGTATTACTAAAACATTGTCTTTCACATTTGAGGCTTGATTTCTCAACCGGTAGTATTGAAAGCTTATTGTCATCGTTGTACAATACATTAAATCTAGCTATTGCTGCATCTGTTCCGATCAAGCATTGTCGACCTCGAAGCAGGTGTCCTCCGTGGTTTAATAAGACAATTAAATATCACAAGAATAGAAAAAACTCGCTATTCAAAAAATATTCGAAAAGTGGCTCTGCGCTCGACTATGTCGCTTGATTTAACTCCCTCAACCATCATTACTACTGCAGATACCTTCAGTTCATTAAATCCTCTCTGTTTGCTAATCTTAAATTCTTTTTTAAATTTGTTAACTCTAAAAGAAAAATATCCAAATATCCCTCTCATGTTTCTTTTAATGGCTCTGATTCCTCGGATGATTTTGAAATCTCAAATCTATTTGCTGAGTATTTCCGACGAAACTTTTCGATTGCTAATTTCGATTTATCAGCAAACTACCCATATCCTATAACTAACTCGGTTTCAATACCTAAAGTGGTTATTTCGGAAAATTACGTTTTTAAAGGGTTGAGCTCGCTAAAATATAGTTGTGCGCCTGGACCTGATGGAATTCCATCATGTGTACTTAAATCTTGCGCTGTCGAGTTATGTGGTGTGATCTCAAAGATTTTTAACATGTCCTTGTATTTAGGTGTTTTCCCTTCATGTTGGAAGAGTAGTTTCCTTATTCCTATCCACAAAAGTGGAAGTAGACAATTTGTTGAGAACTACAGAGGCGTAGCCAAGTGAGTGTCTTGCCCAAGTTATTCGAGCGAATTGTGACTCAGCATTTGACCTTTGCCATTAATTCGTATATTTCTTCGCACCAGCACGGCTTTTGGAAAGGGCGATCTACAGTCACCAACTTGTTAGAGTTTACCTGTCATGTTTTCAAGGCTTTTTCTAGTGGCTCTCGCACAGATGTTATTTACACTGATTTAAGCAAAGCATTTG